GATGGAGCTGGCTGTCTGTACTTAAGACACCTTGAGGTGATGATGTTTTCTAAACTTTGAAATGACTGTTGCAGGAGCAGGAAACACAGGGGTGTCCTGGGCAAATGCCAGTGACACAAAGTATAACTTATTGCCAGAGTCTCCCTGTTCTGTGTTTCGGTGGGGACATGCCCTTTCCCAGTGACCCTTCCCCATGGCTTGAACAGTGGGAGGAAGTCACACCTCCACTCCCTCCAAGTTCCCCAGATTTCCTCTGGCACTGCCCTACCTCGCACTGTCTCTCCTCACCTGCTTGTCCTCTCATGCGTGCCTGTGATGCCCTCTCCTCCCTCCAGCTCTTTGTCTTGACAAAGAGGAGAACCTGACAGGGCTTGGTTAACTTAACTCTGATCACCCACAAAACAAACTGGTATTTTTCTAGCTGCCAAGCTGCTAAAGGCAAGGTTGTCAAAGCCAGGGTGTACGCAAACGTAAGATCCGCAGTTATCCTAGCGTGTCTGAGTTCTAGGCAGGCTTAAAAAAAGAAATCATGGTCCAATTCCCAGGGAGATGCCAGTGACAACCTCTTGGACGCTTACAGGGCCAGCTGTGACAGTCTCCGTACACATTCCCTGACCCGGGGAATGAGCAACTCTCAAGAACAATGGACGGTGGCTCACCCCTGGCATCTGCTTGCACACTGCTCGTCCCAGGGAAGGGCTTGGGGAAGGAGTGTGGGGCTGAGATGTTGATGCCTGTGTGTTTGCTGTGCTGGCGCATGCGAGCAGACAAATCTGCAGGTGGGCAGATAGACAGGCAGGAGGCAGGCCTGGGGGACAGGTGTTGGAGTCTGGTGAACTTGCAAGCTAAGATTTTAAAGATATTTCTGTAGCTGGGGAAGAGCAGAGTACGCAGGAGAGAACCAAGGAGGGAGTGTTAAGCTGGGGGTAGGGGCTGCGTGCGGGAGGCCGGTCTCCCAGAACAGTCGCAAGTCCCTGGGGACTGTCCTGTGTGAGCATGCAGAGCACACACAAATGAGAAGGAGGCAGAGGAAGGTGGCAAGTGGAAGAGGTCTGAGGAAGTCAGCTCTCAGTTTCCATGCCTGTTTCATCCCAATGCCAGTTGGGAACAATCACAGTAGTATCTTGTGAGGAAGAATGCAATCAAAAGAAATACAGTGAAGAAAAGTGTTGCAAAAAGAACATATGAGAACAGTCTGGATGCCTTTGCCAGCAGGGGCTTTGGTCTGAGATACAATTTGCATTGAGCCTGGAAATCAAACAAAGGTTTGAGTTTCACATCTGTCAAAGGGCTGCCTGATTTAACTTCAATCTCCTGGATGTTGTATTAGGGACGAAGATATGTGTATATCATGAAGCAGGAAGGTAGCATGGCTGAGCATCCTGAACCACTGCTCCCTCCCAGTGAGTAGCTCTTCTGCCATTTCAGCCTCTCAGGGTCACTGCTCTCCAGCCCGGAACCCCCGAACAGTGCTTGCCCTGGGAGGGCCTGAGTCACTCTGCCACTATTGCTCCACTTAGTGAAAACATTTGTCCCCTCTTTGTGAGTACCTCATGAGCCATACACATTTTTAAACTATTATGATTTATTTCACTTTGGGAGTTTAAAGGTCTTTGGGAATCTCTGAAACAAGCAGAGACGCTCAGGAAGAACGGGACATCACAAACTCACATAGGTACTGTTATTCCGTGGTCCAGCTTCCTATGACTTATAGATCTGTTTAGACCACACAAGACAATCGATCCCTTATTCTCTGGGGTCCCCACCAGACAATGTAAACCATGGAGTCCTTAGGATCAGAAATACAAGGTTCAGGAAGGGGACCCATTTGTACTGATGCATTCTCCTCAGGCACCAGTGAAATATACCAGTAACATAATGGAAATTCATGGAGGGAAGAGATGTATGGAAGGAGAGACTCATAACTCAGGTGGCCACTGAGCTGTGTTCCCCAGGAGTTCACCTTATCCAGCTCTTCCTCCCTCTCATTCTCACCTGGCTATAAATCACCTGCACACACACACACACACACACACACACATACACACACAAACACACACCCTGCTGGGAGCCAGTGCTTGATTCATGGAACCCAACGGATGGATGCTCTACCAGCCCTTCCCCTCTCATTCTCACCTGGCTATAAATCACCTGCACACACACACACACACACACACACACACATACACACACAAACACACACCCTGCTGGGAGCCAGTGCTTGATTCATGGAACCCAACGGATGGATGCTCTGGTAGACACAGAAAGCTTGGGGCAAGAGAAGCCTCCAGGGTTTGTACACTCCACTGCAATGCTCCTTATTATACCTGCTTGGCACTTGCGTATGCTCCCAAGACCCCGAGTGACCTCTTACTCCAAGTGCTGGCGTCTGATGCTCCCACCAACTTGGTCAAGTTGGCCAATCTCACAGACTGAGATGCTCAGTCCAGGAAGAGACAGCATGAAAGTGTTGCCCCACTCTGGCAGTGGCCTGCCTTCCCTAAACAACCTCTCATCTCTCTCTTCTGTCCCTATGTTCCCTCCTCTCTGATCACCCAGCTCCTAGATTGGGGATTTGCCCTAATTTGTCTATGCTGGAAGGGAGAAGAGATGGGTTGATGGCAAGAATAGCTACTATTTACTTAGTACTTCACACAATATAAAGATGTGGGCATGCTGATGAGTAGCAATGATGACGAGGGTACGATATGCTCCACTATATCTTAGTTTCACAAACTGGACTGAATGGGCACCGTCTCTTCTGACTCCTTAGAATGGCCTGAAAGCTTAGACACTATCACCTCAAAGCGCCGGGGAGCAGAGCCTTTAAAAACAAACCTTCAACTCAGAGTCCTGACCTGATTCCACCTGAAACTTATCAGGACCACTCAAGGCAGACTCTTCCTCTAGAGCAGGTCTATTGAGTCTCTGTGCTATTCAAGGGCTCTGCTGGGCAGAGTGCCACTGTCCCAGCTACCCTTCCGTCAGGGCCTTCCTGGGCCATGGGGAACTGTGCTCCTGCTAGGCCAGTAGAGTGGACACCATCCTTAGACTGTGACCATTCTTCCAGATTCTGCAAAAGATCTGAATCCAACACTGAGAAATCTGTGGTGTCATCTGCCAATCTCTTATGGTGGGAAGACACACAGCTTGCATTTATTATTATTATTATTATCATCCTTCAGTATCTGTGGCTGTACCCCAACCTCTGAAGAAGTAGTGCTTTACATGGCCATGGCTCCACCAAGTGTGCCATGCATGATTCTATGTAAGATACAAACTAATTCAGATGTAAATAATCCTAACATCCGCCTCAGAACTGGGAGGGAGCTGAAACTGTGCTAAGCTGCACTGAGATAACCAGACAGGCAGGCAGTACATAACTAGGGCCCTGGAGAGAGCTGCAGTATTTCCAAAAATGAATCTCTAAAAAGCAAGTGGGGAGTTGCAGACAAGGACATGGACTAGTAAGGCACCAGGTGAAATGCTAAGATACTTCCAAGAGGAGAGTGAAAGAAATGGATGGAAAGGGGCAAGGAGGAGAATGGAAAGAGGAGGAGAAAACAGAAAGGGTTAGGGGAGAATGCAAGAGAAAAAAAATGTTTAAAAAATCTTCAGGTTTGACAACCCCATGAAAATGTTTTTTAGCAGATTTGTATTTGTTGGTAACAATCATTTCTGTTTTTATTTATTCTGTTGTTATTACATCACATAATCACTGTTTTACTTCATTTCCCATCAGTGATAGATTGTGATAAGTCAAGTTGGTTGCTAATAATGCTATAATTTACCTAACAAATTTTGAGCTTGTAGTACAGCTTCATTAATATGTTTAATTTATTGTTACAATTCCTTCAGGTTAATGGTTTGAGAGAATGTTGGAGTTTAATCTGAGCAGTTATTATAGAGTACTTGTTTCTCGTTAAAATGTAAAACCAAGATACCCAAGATTTACTTAGGATAAACTGGCCAGAATAAATCTCTCTCTTCTTTGCACTTGGAAAGGGATGAGATTTGGTTATTAAAAATGTTGCAAATTGGAGAGCCCCTTCAGATAAGCTTAAAGTCATTTGCAGAATTAATGGCCTTTCCACAGGGCGAATGGGAGGCAGGTCTAAAGCCAGTTTATTCTGGAAGAATTCTCCAGATGTCATAGGGTGGTAGGGACATCAGAGAATAGATGAGAACTGAATTTTGTTAAAATGAAAGCTTCTAAGATTCCTGGAAAGATGTCTGTATGCCGAGTGACAGGGAGCAGCATCTACTTTATGGGCCTTTCTTATGTCCTCAGAAAAAGATGAAAATCCACACTGCCTACCCCACCAACTCACCACCACTGACAGTGGAGACCCAGCCTCCACTTTTTCACTTGAGGCTCTGGCAGGGTCCCCGACTGGCAAATTGCCAAAAACATTTTGTGCAGGAAGTCAGACACTTGTCCTACCTGCCTTCATTGACAGGGTTCTCAAACTAGCCCCGTCTTAGGGTAACTTTCAGTTTTGCCCAGGAGCTGAAGAGAGCAAAGGTCACTCTGATTGTAGCTTAAGCACCAACAGTTCTAAGTGACCTCTTAAAGAGTGTCTAAAACTTCCCTGGGATTGGAGGTGTGGACAAGCAAGCTTTGGAACTTCCAAGAAGTTGCCAGGTGCCTGGTCGTCTTCAGCCAGTGGGTTTGTTAAAAACTAAAAGACAACAGTGGCGTTCTTGCCATTTTAATAACCCAGGGCCCAGTGGATGTCTCTGACTCCTAAGGGAATATCAGAAAGACAAGTGTTACTGGTCAAATGGTATCCCCAAGTTGATAAGAAGCCCTAATTTCAGGGCCTGTGAACATGAGTACTTGGAAATAGAATCTTTGAAGGTACAATAAAAAATGATGAGGCTATTAGGATGGGATCTAATCCAATATTACTGATCTCCTTATAACAAGAGAAAACACCTTGTGAGAATGATGCAAACAAAAGCACAGGAGTTGCCATGGACAATGGAACACCAGAAGCCAAGGAAGGCCAAGAAAGATCGCACCTAGAGTCAGCCAGTGCCTTCACCTTAGTTTCACATTTCTAGCCTCCAGAACGGTAAGACAGAGAATGCACTTCTAATGTTTCAAGCCACCCAGTTTGGCATCCTTCATCACAGCAACCCTAGGAAACAATTACAACTAAGCCCTATAGATCATTCTTGGGTCTTAAACACAGTCATGGGAAAGGGGAGGGGTGGGTGTGGGCCTTGAGGAGCCCCCCCCCCGGCCTGGTGGCACTGGATTCCCAGAAGCTGACTGAGGATTGGCAGCCCTTCCTGCCTCCCCTGTTCACTTCTCCTTTAGAGTCCTTAAAGTGAAACATCTTTTGCTTATTTGCTTTTAATTTTTTTGAGACAGGGTCTCCCTATGTAGCTTGGATAGCCTCGAACTCACAGTGATCCTCCTGCTTCAGCCTCCCAAGTTCTGGCATTAAAGGTGTGCTTCAGCACACCTGGCCAGGAATCACCTTTTGTGATGGTTAATTTTGTATGTCAATTTGACCCAGCCACAGGTGCCCAGATATTTGTTTGGAGTTATGCTGAGTCCCTGTGAGAGTATTTCTGCATGGGGTCAGCGTGTAAATGAGTAAAGCAAATATGGGGGGCATCATTCAATTCAATAGAACAAAGAGGGAGAGGAAGAGAGACTACATGCTTTCGGTCCAACTATTTTCAAGCAGGGATGTTGGTCTTCTCCTGTTTTCACACTCAGACACAAGCTAAAACTATACCACGGACTTCCTTGATTTCCCAGTTTGCCAGTGCAGATCTGGGGGCTTCTTGGCCTTCATAATGCCATAGAGCAATTCTTACAATAAATATGTGTATATGTATATCAAAAGAGCATAAATGAACGTATATATATATATATACACACACATTGTTATACATGTGTATATATTTATAGAGCTATATTCTAGAAAAGCATATATATTGTTCTAGCTTCTGTGGAGAACACAGACTATTACACCTTAGACTCGATGCTAACAGCCCCCATGTCCCATGGCTATGTGATAAGACCCCCACTGTTCACATCCTCTGTCTAGTCCCTGCTTTACCTCCAGCTTGGTCCTCTGCCTCAGGATCATTGTGGCCCCTGGATGCTTTCCCAGAATGTTGCCTGGCTGCCCCTCACCCCTGGCAGGTCTCTTTCTCAAACATCGGCTCTCCTCAGAGAGGCCTTCCCTGACTCTCCCAAGTCTGAAGACTCCCACACCTCTAATACATCTCCATTCCCTTGCCTGGCTATATTTTTCTTTACAACACAACCTGAAATTGCAACTGGTTATTTACTGTTTGTTTCCTGCCTGAAAATGTAGCTCCCTGGAGGCAAGGATCACGTTGACATTGTTCTCCACGGTGTCTGTGCCCAGTGCCGGGACAGAGGGGACTGAGCCAGTTTTGTGGCAGGAGGAGAAGAAGCCCAAGCTCTAAGTCCACCATTCAAAGATGCCTCCTTGGGTCTACCCAGAGCATCCCATAATTTGGTACTTTGGGGGGAAGCTACAGTCCGACAATTAGAGGTAGGTCGAGTATGCAAATTAAAATTACATACGCACATATATAAATATTTTGCATGTATGTATGTGTGTAATATGCATGTATTATATGTACATGAAAACCTAGCTGAAGGTGCAGGGAGATCACAATCATGCATTATCAAATTCTCCTGACCCTCCCATTCTCACCTCTACCCCCAAATCTTCAGAAGTGGTACATTTTTCTAGAATGAGAGCCTATGCCCCCTGCTTGCTTGGGAAATTCCATCCCCTCTGAATGCGTTTCATTAGTCACCCTTCCAACACTGCACTTAGGAAGCTATGCCACTCATTTAATACCTGTACAGAGGGTCTGCTCCTCACAGGTTTGTGGACACATAAAGTGAATATAGTACTCTGTGAGAAAAGTAAAGCTTTAATTCTGTATTGTTTATCAAATTATACTGAATTTAAATCTTATGTATTGCTACATATAAGTTAACAATTAATAAAGGTCCATGAAGCTAGTCCCTGAGAGTTGAGAGATTTCCAGCAAGTGTTGTCTGTACCTCTGGAGGAGGCATGGATCCCAGCTCTTCCGACTGGGCTCTGAGAACACAGGGACACCTGTGCATGCTAGAGAACCCAAGTGAGCTCTCCCATCACCTGGAAGGAACCCATCGAGGGGGACACTGGGAAGACTTCCAATGTCCATGGAAGGGGGGGTGGCACAAGGACAGAGAGGCGCCTTTGAATTGTCTTCCCACTTCTGGCCTGGTGGCCTGGCAGTGCATTTTCCTTTAGGCTCTGACCCTGTTAATGGGGACTGAGCTTTACTTCCACATTTCCACGTTAAGTGAAGGGGTCATGGGGGTCGGGCAGGCTCTGGCTTCTCTTCCTCCTGACAGATCCATAATTAGAAGGAGACAGAGCATTCAAAGAGGAGTGTTTGGCTCCAGGCACAGCCTTGTCAGCCTGTCAAGCAGAAGCCTGTTCTCCACGAGCTATTTTGAGCCACCTTCTCAGCTGCATTCCTGATCCTCCAGGCCCATGTTACCCTCCCCCACCCCGCGGTCACCCCTTCCCCCCACATCTCCATCAAAACATCAGCAAGGCTCCTAGGTTTGGGGGAGGGCTTCACAAAGGGAGCCTTTTGTGGGAGATGCCTGAGGGCAGCAGGATGGGGTGCCCCCTGACCCGGCCTACACCTCCTACCTCGGGGCTAGCCCAGCAGTTGGGCATGAGGACCAGCAAGCATGAGGCTTGGCTCTAGGAGAGATTATAACCAGATGCAACAGATTCCTGGCCTTAGAGAAAATAAGTACAAAACTTTCTTAGAAAGGTTGTCACAGGAGCAAGCTGGAATGAAGAACAGAAAGGATGTGTTCTCTGTCCAGCAAATGCCCCGAAAAATTCCCAGGAACTAAGGGACACTGTGCAGCTCCAGAAAGACCTATGCACCATTCAGCCATCCTCAGTGTCACATAACCGGAAGAAACAGCCTAGAAAAGTGTAGCTGCCTTCTCAGCCCCAGGGGGAGACATGAGCCAGGCTCCAGGAGACAGATGTGAGTGTGCCTCACATATACAACTTTCCACAGCCCTACCATATCACAGCCTTCAGCCTGGCCTCCCACAGCTCACTTCGTAGGGACTACACAGATATTCCCTAAGGAAGTGCCTCTCTTTCTTGATGAAGGCGCAATTGGTGTGGCTGGGGGCAAGAGAAAGAGCCCAGAGGCTGGCCTGGGGGCAAGGGAACCAGATCAGAGGATGGACTGCCAAGACCGAGCCAGTGGTAACAAAGTGAATGGTAGTTTCCTGCTGCAGGATATGTCACTGTGCATCAGCTCAAGTGGATACCCAGTGGACTATCTGACATGTGGGATGAAGGTGGCACTTCCCTCTGGAGTGGAGACGTAACACCTGCTGTGGGAGGGGCGGGCTGGCTGCTGCCTTCTGCAGAATGACCCTCCGACACAGCCTCTACATCCTCCCAAGCAGGAGGGGCTCCTAGTGGGAAGTGTGTGCAGGTTTCTCCATCAGGTTTAGGCCCTTCCCTGGCCCAAGGATAGACTTGAGAGAGAGAGGCTCACGTTCTTTCCTGAGCCACTGACTGTTGACAAGATGGATGCCTCATCAAGGGCCCAGGAATGGGGCTTCAGAACTGAGTCCATGCTGTGACCACCAATCCCACAGTCACAAACTACTGTTGCAAGCTGATGCAGGTGGTAATAACCATCAATAATTATCAAGTGCACTAACTTGGACTGATTACTAATGGCACTAGGCACTGCTGGTCACTTTGCAAGCACCATTTCATTCTCTGCTCATGGCAGCTCTGAGGGAGAGGCCACTGAGGATGAGCAGTGGTATTTTTTCTCAAGACCCAGCTTCTGAAGATGCCACCCGGGCCTTGGACTCACATGGTCCTGTGTCCTGGGGAAACTCACAGTTTGGTTCCTCTGGGGTGGTGGTTCTCAAGGTGTGGTGCTGGAGTGGCTAGGGTCATTATCTTTTGTATTCACAGTGCCAACCCCGAGACCCCGTCCAGCTTTCCAGATGCAGTAACTCCTTGGTGCAGCCCAGCATAAGCCCTCTGGGTGAGCCAATGCATACATAAATTTGGGGCTTCTGCTCACAGGGCTTCTTTCTGCCTGCTCATATAGTGAATGGCTAGGCAAATTCTGAAGGCCCCACTCTGCCCCTAACCGTGGGTGAAGCTGTTTCTTGATCCAGCTCCAACTTGTCCTTCTAAGGCTCCCCAGAACCTTTTCTGGAGTCTGCATGTTATCTTCAGGAAAACCATCCCATCATCTTCCCATCCCAGCCCTGACTCTGACGTTTTCTAAGTGTTTTTATATCTTCTTTTGTGTGTGATGAGCTTCTCCTGTGTGTCCCTAAGGACTCTGTCCAAGAGTGCTGAGCCCCATGCCTGCCTGTCTCCCTGCTGCTGGCTCCCTGCCCCAAGGATGCAGTGACTGTCACATGGTGCCTGCACAGAAAGCAGAGAGAATTGATTAAGCACAAGCCTTAATTGTGGTGGCATTGCCTGAGAGCAGGGAGCCAATTCCAGCTGCTTTCCTTGTTTGCATGATGGGGCCTCCCGATTCAGTGGATTGTTTTTAATTACCACAATACTAAGAATTTGCAAGCCCTTTGGACCAGCCTTTCCTAAGGCATGAAGGACAAGGAGACAGAAATGAGTTGACTCCTGATTTCTGGATGCTCTGAAAATCTTGTGATTCTGATAGATCAGTGGGGCCCCACCCGAGAGCTGTGGTTCTCATCCTGCTGCCCATGAATTTTTACCTGATGACCTTGACCCAGTCCTTTTGAATCCTGTGGTGATAATTCTCTGCTTACAAAATAGGAAGGATTCCATTATTCAAGCAACAGGTGTCGGAGGCTTATGTAAGCCAGACATGGTGGCGGGCACTGGGTACAAACGATGCCAGGAGACCTAACTCCAGGGGTGCTTTGCATTGTGTGTTGAGGGCTACTGCTGAAATCTAAGAAGTGTTGTGGATGAAAGGAGGTAAGAAAAGGGGCTGCAGAGCAGATCTCCCCAAGCAGATCCTTAAGGAATAGGTGAGCATTCTGCAACTGAGGAGAGAGGGAAAGCCCAGGAGACAGCAAGGATCAGAAGTGTTTGGGTGCCAAGGAGGTGCTCAGTGTGGCTGGAACCAAAGACACATGGGGCATGCTGGAAAAGAGACAATGCTCACAGGCAGAGTCCTTGGCCAGTGCTGCCCACTTCCCATCAGGGAGTGATTTAATATATTAGCTCCCAATGGCAGAATAACCATCTGAATGTAGCTTTGCAGTTTTTCCAGAGTGAATAAAACCTGCTCATGAGCGAATGATTCAGAGGGGACAGGAACAAAGAAAGGGCTGAAAAGGCCCTCAATTTTTCAAAATAAAACCTGTCTTCTCCCCTGTGGGAGTCCTGAGGGTTTCCTTATGACACTAAAATGTGAAAACAGAAGAAGTTGGCTAGGCCAGCAGGTTCCACTTCGATCCTTCCCAGCTCTGAGCTGTGCCTGGGCTTGGCCATGAGGAAATGAAACTCTTACAGGTGGGTGGTGCAGCTGGCTGAGGGCTGGCCTCCAACCTGTTCAGAGAATTTGATCTGGGTCATGAGCTGACTGGGCTCAAAAGGAAGGAGAGATGTGAGATCATAGCAGCACCAGCCAGGCAGTACCTTAGGAATGCGAACTCAGCTACCAGTGGTTCCAACTCACCACCATAGCAGCCCAGGACACCCACCATGCCGGGTCACAGGTAATGCTTAAAAGAATAATAGCAGTGCTTTTAAATAAAGGAAAGGTCAAAGCAGGGCCTCACAGTGCAAAGCTGTTCCCTTTACTTCAGCTCATCAGTCACCTGTGATTCCAAATGGCAGCCTGGGTCTCAGTAGCTGTCCATCATTTCCCCAAATTCAAGGCTCCAGATGTGTCAGGACAGAGTGAGTGGAGACTGTGTGGGATGGGACGGTGAAAGGAGAAAACCCACCCCAGCAGTGGGAGCAGCTTGCTGGCCTTGTTAATGAGAAGCTTTGTTCGGCATCACCTCGCTATATAATAATAGCAGGAATTAATACAACCCCAAATTAACAGCACAGAAGAGCGATCACAAGGCAGAGATACATTCCTAATGGGCTCAGCTGAGAGTGGAGAGATGGATACGGGGACTTCTTCCCCAACCATGTCAACTAGGGCTGGCAGAGGAGCCATCACACCACTGAACAAGCCTCCCCTTTGCCAAGGACAGACTGGCCTCAGTCCAGGGCCATCGGGCCTGCAGTTCCACTCAGAACTGCTGGCCCTAAAAGAGAAATAAATACATGCTGCTCTGCTGCTCAGAGCCCCAGGCCACCCAGGTCTGAGCCCAGCATCTGCCACTCCCCAGCCGAGGTGAAAGCATTTCTCTCCCTCACCTTCCCCCAAGTCCTGTGGCTATGGAGAGTTGTCACGAGCAATTTTCTATTAGGGCCAAGTGAACTGCTTACTCAGCCATTAAATCTAATAATAACCTCAAGTTTATAGTGTTTCTCTCATACTAATCATGTGTGGCTATTGCTCTCAGGCTTTCCTTCCCTGCTCCCCTTTGGGTCCCCAATGCCCAGCACTCATATCTCACCTGCCCCTGTACACTACATGGGAGGGGCGTGGGGCAGAAGCAGATGCACCATGTGGACTGCAGGGAGGGGTCCTCGGGACGAGAACTGCTGGGCTCCTCTCCTCAACCAACAGGAAGAAGAGCAGGGCCACAGCAGCAGCTAGTGACACTCGAGGACCTGTGAGAGGGAAGAAGGAGCCCCTGGGGGCTGAGATCTGCTTCTAGCCCTTGCACAGCCTCAGCCTTCTGGGTGACCTTGGGCAGGCTCCATACTTCCGTGGGAAGAGTGCACCCTGTCTGTGTAAAGTGTGGGGCTCGGGATGCATGACATCTAGAGTCCCTTCAATCATTTACTTTAAATGTAAATGCACAGTATGTTCATTGAGAGTTGAGGATGTTCCAGAGCCCTCTGGAATACCTGGCCCTTCTCTCTGCCTTCGTGCACCTACAGAGGGAGTGAAAAGAACCCCTGTGTCCGTTCACCTTTGGATGGAAAGAATGTGACCGTTCTTTGCATGGAAGGACTGGGACGGATATTCCTATCACGCAGCTGAAGGCTTTGGGGCTAAACTGCAGGAGTCCCACCCTTTTCCGATTACATGCCTGGGCCTAGTCTGCCCCTTCTCTTCTTACTGACTTTGCATGACTGCTGGTCTCATGGTGGGTGGAAACAAGAACATTTCCATCCCAGTCTTAGTTAGCGTGAGCCAGGTTTATCCAGCGGTGGCTGAGGTGGCATTTTCCAGGAAGTACATTTCTGCAAACTGACAGCCACCTTTTCAGAACAGGGAGAAGGGGGGTCATCAGCAGGGAGAAGTTTGCCAGCCTCTTATCTGAGGAGCTGGAATTCCTAAATTCCTCACTAGGATGATTCCACAAAGGGTGGGCTTTCTATAATGCAGGAAGAGAAATGGAGCCACTTTTTATTCAGATCAAGATAGCAGGAGAATTGCCAACAAGGAGGAGAGTTCCTGAGACCAGGATGGGCTGGCCACCAGACATTCCCTTCTCCTGTCATCTTTTCATACTGCTGGTTCACTCAGTTGTTTGTGGAGCTGAAAGGAAAGTTTAAACTAAAGGGGCTGGGTGGACCATCACAGCACCCCTCCAACTTTGTCTCTGAGACTTTCAGTGAAAATACATCACAACCCAAGATATGTATGCTTACAAATAACTGAAGCAAAAGTTCTGACTCTATGTGACATGCATTCTGATCCCTCTCTCTCCCTCTCTCTCCCTCTCTCTGCCTTTCTCTCTCTCTCTCTCTCTCTACCCTTTTTCTTTCTTTCTTAATGTGAAAGACTGGAAACTTTTTTCTTTCTTTCTTTTTTAAAGTGGAAGACTTGAAATTTTATTTCTTTTCTTTTCTCTCTCTCTCTCTCCCCCTCTCGCTCTCTCTCTCTGCCTTTCCTTTCTCCTCTCTCTTCTCTCCTCTCCCCTCTCTCAGTAAAATGCTGGTTATGACCCACTGAACTGCTTCCATGACATATTAATGGTTCTCATGCCACAATTTAAAAGTCTTCAGATTAGATGATCTTGAAAGGACAGCCTGGGTTTCTGATTCTGTAGCTGGAGGCCTCAAAGGGCAGCTCTCTGGCTCTTTCCTGCCAAAGGAGCCCCACAACAACCTTCCCTGGGCATAGCTGCTAGGAGTTTCATTGCAAAAAGTCTCCAGAACCAATTTTGTCCGAATATTCCCAGCTGGATGTCAATGTGAGCATGTGTGTGCAGTGACAATGGGCTGTACTCAGCTCCTGGGCACCCTGCACCTGCTCCCAACCCCACACCATAGCTCCCTCTGGATCCTCATCAAAGGGAAACAGGAGGAGAGCAGGAAAGTGGTAATGCAGCACCAGGCACCAAGAACTGGAGGGATAACCTAGGCCAGGATTAGCAACAGGGTGGGGGAGGCTGTGCAGGGGTGACACACGGGCTCTCTGCCCCTTCTCCCTGGTTTCTGTCAAGAGCCCACTGGAAGAGCAGGTGTTGGGAGCAGAAGTGGGATCCCTAATCGTGTCTGGACCTCAGCTGTTGACCACTATGGCCACTCTAAGGTGTCTTCGAGGACGTGTTTAGGTTTGGAGGGTATTTCTCCCTGAGGATAGGGCTGCCAAGAAAAGTCAAGGCCTAGAGGTGCCAGGAAAAAGTCCCGAGGAGGCAGCATGTTTCAATGAAAAGAATCATCACTGTGCTCCACTTTGTGGGGTCTAATGGGGAGCAGACACAATCCAAGGCTTTGTTGCACTCATTAAGAGCTAATTACGATGATTTTATAGCACCTGTAGCTTATTATTTTATACTACAAATCATTTCTTTAATAGAATATTTATAGTCCAGTGTAAAATACTGAAGCAGTAGGGAGGGAAAAGGAGTCAGATTTTTGCAAAGAGAACAGTCTCATGATTATATTCAAGAAGAGGTACTTTGAGATTTCCTTTTGCTTTCTCTAGAATAAGACAACTCAGATCCTATGGCCTGATTACAAACATCCAGGAAGTCTAAATTCAGGGCCCACGCATGATATTAGATCCGAATCAGGGCTGGACTGCGTGTCGGTAAAGAGCAAAGAGGACGGAGCCCTGCTGTCCTCTCCCCTCCACATGTACAGATAGACTGGAGGAGGCACTCACTCCATCATTTCTTCACACCCACGCTCAGCACCTGACTGCCCACAGTGCTGAGACGTCAGCACTGGGTGGGATTATGACAAGGTAGCTCTCACTCCCAGACCTTAATATTATAAAACACTTTAAGAAAAAATGCAGGACTATAAGAGAATGTGTTGTTCTATTTACAAGATCTTTCTGTTTACCAGAATGTCTACGCATCCATACTGACAAGTTAGTATTGGGGATGATTACTCTCAGCACTGTGCAAGTCTTCACTACTTCCATATAATTAAAAAAATTACACTTGGCAGAGCTTCATTGTAAAGTCCAGCTCACTCCTTCTTCATGGCTTGACAATGTATGTTCATTGAACAATGTATATGCCCTCATGCTATGGTCAGTGACTCATGCTGCTTTATTCCCCAAGTGTAGCCTTCGCTGGGGGGGGGGGCGGGCGTTCTGAGCAGCAATCTCCACGGTGACCATGAATCCATTAGAAGTTAGGACTCTGTGGGTAATGAGCAACAGGAACATTTTGAGTCTGGAAGGATGACACTAAACAAACAGTGCCCCCTTTTCCATAATAAGGGGCTGGCTGAATGATTGCTAAAATCTAATTATTCTAAGAAGCTATGACTCAGATGCCTGTGTTCTCTGCTAGAGGTTGTTCATTCCCAAGTGCCACCCATCATGAGAGGTAATTCTCCTTCTGTGAGTTAGCCTTGTTTGTTGGTTTTTAGGTAGCTTTATTGTAGGGGTCCCTAGGCCAAAATAGCTTTTTTAGCTTCAAAGCTCAAGGTCACACTCTATTAGATTGATGACTTCTCACAGTATCCATGAAATGATGAGTTTCCACTCAGGAAATAATGATAACACTGTTTGTTCTTCTTTCATTCAAACCATCAGCAAATACAAGTTTATGGCATCTCTATGCTTCTAGGTGTCTTCTAAGACAGAAGAGACCAAGGAGACTACCAGGAAACAAGCCCCTAAAAAAGGAGAGACTGAATCACTGGAGGCGATGCTGACCCAAGCACCTGCACTATAGGTCTGTACTCTCTGTTATGTCATCTCTTCTTAAGATGTTTGCCTTGCTCTAAGGGGGTGGCATATCCTAGGCAGTACATGACAGTTGCCAAGTCCAGTGGAGATGCTGGGCTATCTACTTAAAAGGAAGGCATCACTAGCAGAGAGATAAACAGCCTCCTAGCCCAGGAAAGACGTTGCCAGACCTTGAAAGAGTAATAGTGGGGCTGACATATTCTTTATCATCTGCTTGCCCTAACATTGATCGCAGGATCCAAGGACCCAGCTGAGAAGAATAACAAGAAAAGCCACGTTCTTGTGGAAATAGCTTCCACTCTCTAAGTATTCTAGTCCACACCAACTCTGTTTCTGGATTTAAGATTTAATTAGCTTCATTAGTAGTATAAATAAGAATCTTAATAGCTCTGCTTCATTCAGAATGACTGGTGGTGTACCTCCCAATGAGCTAATAGGTTTTACTACTGGCCAGATTCAAGGTGCTGAGTAACTGATGCAAGAAGCACATATTTTTGTGTTAGATTTTCTGGAACAGGCTATCCAAAGTTCTTCATTGTATGTCCTGATTGTGGGGTTCAGAAATTACAGGCACTATCACATGTGTATCCATAATTTCTTCTTGTTTGGCATGTGTTGTAGTTTAGGTTTGAAATCTCATCCAACAGCTCATATGTTAGAGGCCTGGTCCTCAATGCAGCAGTGTACAGAGGTAGGATCTTCGGGAGGTGATTGGATCATGAGGGCTCTGATCTCATCAGTAGATTAATCCATCGGTGGATTTATAATTTAACGAGCTATTGGGTGGTAGAAACCGTGGGAGGTAGGGCATAGTTGAAGGAAGTAGGTCATTGGGGGTGTGCTCTTGAAAGATATATTTTGTTGTGAGTCTCATTCTCTCTCTGCTTCCAGGCTGCCATGATCCGAGCAGCCTCCTCCACCATACACACGATTCTTGCCTCACCACAGGCTCAGAAGCAACTGGGTCAACCATAAACTGAAATATCGGAATCAGTGACCTCAAATAAATCTTTCTTCCTTGTAAGTTGTTTTCCATGGGTATTCAGTCATGGTGATGGAAAGCTACCACAACACTGCCTGATCTCACAATACAGCTGCTCTGATTTTTTTCTCTAGAGAATTCTCTAAATCTAGAATGGAAGAGATGTCCTAGACAAGAATGGAGACCAAAAATGTGCTGAGCCCTTACTATGTGCTGGCCTCGTAGGAATCCCAGAGTGGCTCTGTTAGCTTCCTTGTTGCTGTAGCAAAATGAGTAAGATAAATAACTTATAAGGAGAAAAGTTTTGTTTTAGCTCGTAGTTCTAGGGGTTTCAGTCCTTGGTCAATTGGCCCTGTCACTTTGGGGCCTGTGGTGAGGCAGCACATCATGGCAGGAGAGCTGAGTGAAGGAAGCCTACTTACCTCAAGGCCAGGAAAGAGAGGAAGAAGGGACCAGGGTCCCAATATCTTCTTCAAAGGCACAACCCCAATGACCTAGCTTCTTGCCACTAGGTCATACCTATAAGGGATCCACCACCACCACAAAGTGCCAACCTAGAGATCAAGTCTTTATTTAATGGGCCTTTGTTGGACATTTCCGATCCAGACTATAGCAATGGCTACTACTATCTCCCACTCTGCAAATGAACAAATTGAAGCCAGAAATAAAGAAGCTAATATTTTGCCAAGCTGGGATCTGAGCACAGAACATTCAGAGTGCAAAGCTCTCTTCACACAAAGTGTTCCTTTTCTTTACTCCTTTTTTTCTTTCAAAAATAGTTAAGAACCTGGTTGTTTTCTCATTGTACCTCTCATTTCTATTACCAATATGCACACTATAAGGATAGCAGTCAACCCTCTACTGGCTAATTAACTAATTCCTGTAGTTACAAAGTTAAAAGCCAATTAGAGCAACCCTTTTGCTTCTGCACGGACTTGTCACCTACCACTGCTAGCTTCCTGCTTTCACTCGCTCCCATCACACCCAGGAAATATGGAACTTGAAGCCAGCAAAAGCTGCCTCTCTCAATCCACTCTGCTGTTGTAATAACAAACCATAAAATTAACTAAATTTCACCACGGTGTAATGTGCTGCATAAAAGTGGTGGCAATGTGTCTGCAGGGCAAGGGAACACTCCATTGAAATCAGTTCCTCTTTATTGCATTGCCAACATTTAACAATTTCTCCCCCATAAAGGCAGGAAGAATAGCACGAGCAGAAATAGAATGGATATCTGGATATCTGCTACTGTCCTGCTGATACCTGGATATATTTGCAGCTGTGAATAATGTATAAATAAAAATTGACAAGGATCATTTGCGTATGCTTCTTCACATATACATGTGTCCCCTGTCTACACATATCCCTAGCTGTGGAAGCACACACAATTGTGTATGCGAATACTCAGATGCATGTGCAGAAATACATGGCTGAAACAGTGCACATATACCTGTGGTATACATATTCACACTTGCTTAACAGGTTTTGCTTAAAGGAAGTCAAGGAGTAGCTTCAGTGGTTTTGGCAGTCCTGGCTTTCTGCATGATGACGTGACCAGCTGCTCTTCAAAAATGAGCAGGGGACAATGGGCTAGAGGAGATATGAGAGTCTCCCTATGACACGTTTCCAGGCTGGGTGAAAACATGCCTTGCTCACTGCTAACAGTTTCTCTTGCACACTGAAGAGAATGGCTGTGGGGGACTGAACGTCACTCTTGGCAGCTGAGTATATCACGGCTCACAGAATCTGCCCTGGCACAGCCCATAACTGCCAATCTCATCGTGTAAGAAAGTGTACCTCACTGTCTACCAAGTTCTTCCTGGAGCAATTTAAGTCCATTTCCTCTTGTGATGAGCAAAAACAGCTGCTCATCACACTCTATACACACACTATAGAAAGCAGTTATTTATCTCTCAAATTGGGAAAGGTCCTCTCTGAAATTCACTACCATTTTTACCCTCTCTCCATCCATATCCCAGCTGCATCTTACAGTGAGGCCATGTTCTTGAAATTGCAATTTCTGAAAGGACTGTGGGATGGACGGCTATGTGTGCCCAACAAGGAGCACTGGAGTAGGAGCCAGGAGAACTGGGTCTGTGTTGGTTCTGTCACTAGTGTGGATGTACCAGATTCCTCTCATTCTCCAAAAGAAGCAGGGACAAGTTAGTGGGCCATTGAGGCCCCTTCAAATTCTATGACTCCAATATGGTTTAAAATCTACTAATTAAAGGCAAATGTCCATCTTGCTTTTATGGAAAACAGCACACACAAAAAAGAAAACCTTTGATGTTGTCAGAGCCAGCCAACTATCAAGGCTGGATGAAATATACTGTTGATAAGAATGACTTGCTTCATGCTTTCAGGACAAATTGTCCTTAAAATGCTGCCAGTGCAGTAATTACTCAGATATTTACACAGTGATTAACATCTTCACCCTCCGAATCATATGAGAATGCTCTATAGAAAGGCAGATCTCCAGATCTCACCTAGCCTGAAATGTCTCATCAAACAGTCACAACACTCAACACCAGTAAATAATTAGGGAAAACATTAACTATCAGGGTGACAGTTGGTCTGGCTCTGGGGTTGCAACACCAAACAAGACATGGGACCTCTCCTTAACTAACAACTGTAGATCATCCACTGCCTGCATCAGCTTCTGGCTCAGTCCTCTGGACAAGAACATCACCCTTTTCCTTCCCAAGAAGACACATTTTTTGACCTTAACAGCATCCTAGAGTGGCACTTGGATATTGGGCTTTCATATGCCAAAGGAATGTGGAAGAACAGCTTCTGGCTCTGCCAGCAAGATGATACAGACCACCCGTCACAGTTTTCCATGCCAGTTCCTTCCAGGGAGCTGCAATGACTGCAGGGGAGAAATGGAAGCCCATGATCCTTTCCTGATGAGAAGCCAAGAAAAGAGAGCCCAGCAAAGAGAGGGTTACCACATCCTATGCCCTGGCTCAGATTCTTCAGCCAGTGCACACAGCGCATATGGCATCCTTGCCATGTTATGGATCAGACAAACTAAGACCCAGTAAAGAAGACTAACACCAGGAATTACAGAGTCAGAGCTATAGGAAACATTAGCAATCTCCCCTCTCTGTATTTAGAAGGTGAAAATTCTGATGCTAAGAATGTAACTTGGCTGGCTGGCCCAATACTCACTCTAGCATTTCATGCCGCATCACACCAGCAAAGAAGATATGCAAGCTTATCTCAGAAATTAAATCTTTCATAAATTTATTGTCAGTTCTCAGCAAATACTTGACAGATCAAGTTTCTTTATTTTATCACATGCAAAGATTTGTTTTAATAAAACCACTAAACTAGAGATTCCTTCTAGTCTCTCTTTTTACAACGTATACATATCATAGGCAAAGCATTGATAAAAACAGGGAAAGAGTGTGTACCTTTTTATGCAAAGTAGCAATTAGAAATGTATTTTCTCACAGATAAAGAGATAAACCTTAATACAACCTCTCTCCCCTCTCTTCCATCTCCTGAGGCAATAAGTAGAAGTGGTTAGACATGACTTTTCCACTGTTATAGCTCAGGATGGAATACTCCAGGGCCTTGGACTGGTTTACATACTGAATTACTTGCCGTGCTGTTATGGATTTACTGTGACTCCACTATAGAAGACTGAACTTTCATTGGAAGCTTCCTTGTAGGCATCAAAAAGTGCCTCTATGATAGCTCCCATCTAAAAGGACCTGGCAATAGAATCTGAGCCTAATGATATAGATTTTTGTGTTTTACTAAAGACATCATGATATACATATAACAAGACAGATGATATAGACCCAAATTAGTAGCACTCAGTTTAGCTTTCCTGCCTGTCCCTAGCAGGGAAATAGTCATATAGTGGAATTGTGGGCCCCATAAATAACAATGGCTATTCTTGCTCTCTAGACACCCTTCACCTCTTTTTCTTTGGATCTGACTTATGATAAAGCCCACGCACAGCTGTGATGAGAACTCGGTACATTTGACTCAGTCCTTAGTGGCCCAGTTGAACTGAAAGTGTCAAGAGTCCAAAATATTCTTCCCACCCTTCTTCACTGCACTACTTATTCAAGTTTAAAACTGGATAAAAATGAACATCATGAGCTGTTTGCTAGTCAGCCTTCCGGGTGCTGGAATAAAATACCCAACACTCACGACTTAATGGAGAAAAGGTTTACTATAGCTCGAGGTTTCAGAGGTTTGAGTCCATGGTCCTCAGGCTCCAAGGCAGAAACACCATAGCAGAAGGGTGTGATCGCACAGCTTCTTTGCTCCTGGTGGCTGGGAAGCAGAGCGCCAAAGAACGCCACTAAGGGAACACACCCTCCAGAGCCACAGCCCCCAGTGACTCACCGCCTTTAATGGGGCCCCGCCTCCTCATAGCACATTCAGCTATGAACATCAAGGGGATAATCCCCTGAGGAGTAAGCTGCCCCATGTCTGATCATCTCTCCAGGAGTCTCTTAATCTTGTCAAGTTGACAATTAAGATGAACTGGCACAAGGTGGTCAAAAGGAAGCAAGGAGAAGATGATGCTGGAGAACACATGTGGGAAGATCAGAGGGTACTGTTGCTAGGCAACCAGCCCTTATCCACCTCAGAGGAGTGCAGTTTCTGCATCACCTGGAGGTTTATAACCCCTGATACTTCTGAACATCAGCCAGAACTTCCTTGCTGTTCTTCACCATCTTTCTCCCCATCTTTGTCTCCACAACAGACAGAATCATGGATGTAGTGCTGCCCCCCAACTCCCTGCCAAAGGATAGCTTTGCTCAATGGAGGGAAGCAGAAAAGAGGGGCATAGAGAAAAATGGGAGGCAACAAAAGAGGTAGGAAAGGGAAATGGCAAAGAATAGGAAAGAATCTGGAAATTGAAAACGACAGATCTCTCCCCATAGCATCCTCCCTCACATCCAGTTCTGTGACTCAGAGCTCAACTGCAGAACCTGTAGCAGCCAGAGAGGAGCACCAGGCTCCTGAGCACCAGGCTAGCAGAGGGTACAGAACACTCCAGGGGCAGGAGGATAAGGACACCACCCTAGTCAGGACCCACATCAAGATTAGGACTGTTAGGAGTTAGAGATTCACATCCTTCATCAGAACTGAATGACTCCTGTAAACAACTGGTTGTGTATTTACTGGCACTGAACAAGTTATTAGACGAACTGGAGGACAATAGCAGCACAGAGCTCTTTGCAATTCTGGGGTCTTGCAGCCCTTAGCACACCATATTTCATCTAATCTGAGGCACCCATTATACAGTGCACTGTAATTTTGTGTACTACTGAGAAAGAAAAAAATTCTGGCAATTAACCATGACAATACATTGATTGTAAGATGCATTCATCTTCAGAGATGTTTAAAATGTGAGGGAAAATAGGTGTCTTAAGACTGTTCAGATATAGTCAAATCTAAACCCCTCACCAATGCCATAGAATCTCTTCACAGAATGATCCTCGTCTCCCGTCCCGCTCAGTGGACAGTGCTCCATCCAGCCCCGACTCTCTTTCATCGGCACAGTCATGCCTTTTCCACTCTTGGCTTGAACTGAGACTGTGCCTTTCTTTTACCTGGCAAGAGCTGGCCCCAGCTGCCCCTCTCTCCTTGGATCAGTCCCCACACACTTTTTTCCATCCTAATGGCCCTGTTCTTGCTGTATAACAATTCTGGGTATTTGAGGGTTTAGTTCTTTCTCTAGATTATGAGTCCCTTGAGGCAGATAAAATGAAAATAGTTCACATTTGTTGAGCATTTAATATATGCCAGATAATATAACTATATATAGATGCTACTTGATTTAGGATGGAGTAAATCAAGGATGTCAAAAGTTAAAAATGCATTTAAGGCATCTTACTACTGAACACCATAGCTTAGTCAAGCCTACCTAAGGCATGCTTATAAACCATCTAACACAAAGCCTATTTTATACTAAAGTGATAAGCACTTATTGGTAAATATCTTCTAAGGGAAAACATGTACCAGCATTTAATTCCCTGAAAAGTTCAATATTCAAAATTTGAAGTACGGTAATCTGGTATCTGTTAAATACATACTGCTTTCACACCACTGTAAAGTCAAAAAGCCATGAAGATGAACTATCATAACTTGGGGACTGTTTGTACTACATACATTTCATATGTGAACGGCAGCAATTATGAACTAATGAGGAAGAGATAGTTAGTAACTTTGCCAAATTCATGCAAGCTATTGACTATGTTGTGGAGTCAAAATGGGATTCAAACCTACTTCTGGGTGGCACTATTGTTGCATTTTTAATTCCTTTGGATTTTGGTGG